CCCCCAAATAGGCCGGCGCCCGGCTGTCAGGCGTAAGCCTCATAAATCCGGGCGCCGGCCAGGACGCCCGTGGCATGCCCGGAGGGCCTTCGGTGGTAACCGAAGGTTATAGACGGGCGCGCCCCCTGCCGCCGACCCACCGCCGACCCTCGTCACCAAAACGGGGGGACCACCGAGTCACTGATATCAACGTAATTTACAGGGTTTCGTGTGTGTGAGGTATAAAAACACTGTGTTTTACAGGGTTTGGGGGCCCTCGGCGGCCGAGAATTTCATCTGGGCGATGTCAAAAAACCTAGGTTTTTTCATGGTTTTTGCTTTGCGGGAAGGAAAAAATCGCCAAAAGTTGTATCGGAAGATTTTTTCAACATAAATCGCCTAACATATCCCCAACATAGGCCCAAGATAGCCAACAGATCCCCAACATATGCCCCACATAGCCTCCAAGATGGCTCAACATAGGGCCAACATAGGCCAACTTGGGGCCAACAGACGCCAACATAGGCCCAACATAGGCCCAAGATAGCCAACACATCCCCAACATATGCCCAACCTGTCTGCCTGTCCTCACCAGGGCTGTGGCTGGCTGGCGTGAGCGACGCACTTGTTGCCAGCTGACAGCTGCCGCCTCCCAGCGTGCATCGCGCTCCATGTGCCTCCTCTCTCTCCGACGGCTCTCCCGACTTTTGGTTGCTGCAAGCAACCAGGGCAGTCAGCCCCCGTCCCTCGGACGGGTGCTGCCGGGGTGCCCCAAACCCCGGCCCCCGTCTTCTCCGTGGAAGACTCCATGGAAACGTGGCGGGTCCCTCACCGAAACCACGCCCCGCAAACACCGCGAGCGACACCAACCGCCTCGACCCAGAACTCTCTTACCCAAGTGCGCCGGCGCCCGGCTGTCAGGCGTAAGCCTTTAAATCCGGGCGCCGGCCACGGGCCCGTGTCCTTGCCGGAGGCCTTCGGTTGGTAACCGAAGGTTATATACGCTCGCCGCCCCTGCCGCCGACCCCCCCCGGTCGACCCCCGCCCGAATCCGCCCGACAGATTTTTGATAGATTTTTATGTTATCTATTTTTTCTACCAGCATGATTGCGCATGATGTGGAAAACATCGTTTTTTACAGTGTTTCGTGGCCTTCGGCGGACATGACTTGCGCCTAACAGGGCACCGGTGGTGTCGGTTATGCGTGCCGCGCGGACAGGCTTAATCGACATTTCGTGGGTGTTGGGTACAGAAGTTGCCTAACATCTCCCCAACATAGGCCCAAGATAGCCAACATATGCCCAACATAGCCTCCAAGATGGCTCAACATAGGGCCAACATATGCCAACATGGGGCCAACATACGCCAACATAGGCCCAACATAGGCCCAACCTAGGCCAACATAGGCCTAACATAGGCCGACCTAGGCCCAACATAGGCTCAACTTGGGCCCAAGATGTGCCCAACATAGACCACATGGGCTCAACTTGGCCCAACCTATAGGGCCAAGATGCGCACCAGATAGCTCCACCAAGTCTCAAAGAGAGAGAGAGAGAGAGACAGAGAGACAAAGAGAGAGAGACAGGACCCAGCCCTGCACATACCCAAACCCAAATAGGCCGGCGCCCGGCTGTCAGGCGTAAGCCTCATAATTATCAGTTCTTGTTTGATCATGAATGAGCGGGTGGGCCGTTTTGGGGATTGTTTTGGGGTGTTTAGCTCCGCTTGGGACAGAGCTTGGGGGTAACACTGGTCATCTTCGTCTGGCTGAGCAATGTGCCAACCAGGAGCTCCCGTTCTTTCGCGCAAATGCGATTCAGGAAGGCCACCTGCAGGCGATCGACGAAGCATGCGACGTGCATCCACGGTCGCGGTCGGCGAAAAGGCGCCTGTTCACGCCGTTCGCGGCGCTCATCCTCTAGATCCTTTTCAAGTGTCGCAGCTACCTGAGATGCTCATCTTCTTCTCACTCGTCTGTTCTCTTTAGATGCTGCACTGCAGCCCTCCAGCACCACAATGATGCTTTTGTTTCTGCCAGTCTTTTCATCAAACTCTCTGTGTGCATTCGATGCTTTGTGTATTTGCTTCTTCCGTGCAAACACAAACCGAGTCTGTATAGCAGTGCGGGCTGAGCGCAGGACGGAGTCGAGCGCTGCGGCCATTTTCTCAGGACTTGCACCTGGGCTCAGCCAACCGACGCTCTTCTGCGTCGCGGTGAACATCTTGCTGACGGGGAGCTATGGGTACACGGAAGGGAGATTGAACTCCTGGGGCAAAAAAGCAGAAAAAGTCCCTAGGCCCTAGGAGTTGCTACAGAAAACTCATTCTGTTGAATCACTCAAGTTGCATGACTGAGACAGGTACGCGTTGTGAATCATGCCCGTAAGACCACTCTCCCGACACGGTTGGTGCCATAGCTCAAGGCCTTACCAAAGGTCGTCATCTCAAGTTCAAACAGCGAACTTGAACACCACCCAGTTCAAGGTGACAGTCTTTCGAGAAGAAAACCACCGCTTGGGATAGTGCCATCAGGTCGGCATGAGCTGTCGAAGCTTCTCAAGAGCATACATGCACGGTCAAAACTATACTATCTGAAGCTGAAAGGTACATGGAGGAGGGGAACCAGCTTCAGCAAGCTCAGTGTGCACTAACCCTCATGTACCTACAGCCATTGTCAATCGCCTGTCATTCCTAGGTCCTAGCTGCCTCTGAGACTCAGAGCCACATGGCTCTGGGTAATGCAAGGCACTGAGCAAAGGCAAAAGCTAGAACTGGACGCGGCCAAAGAAGGACGGCGAGAAGGCATCATTTGTGGTTTGCCTAGGCCCAAATATCTTCACACAGATGCTGTGTGTTCTTCTCGTCTCTCCGCTACTTTTTGAGTAACGGCAAACAGCTATGCCTTTGAGCTGTGTGCCTCAGGCCCAAGACTCTTCGCTCATCACAGCCAACCGAAGCTTGGCTGAAAGATCCGCAACACGCTTGAGTTGAGCGCGCGCTTGAGCACATAGACGCTTTCGTAACTCCTCATTTTGAGGCTTTTGTGAGTAGCTCCGGTGGTGAGTCAAGAATGGCAACAACCAAGTGCTTGGCCAGGGTAGAGTTTCCAAGCTCAAGGATTCCTGACATGAAGTACAAGCTATACAGTGCAGGCTCTGGCGTCAGACACTTTATCAAGGCGCCTCTTATTCTCACTATATAGTCCCTGAGACTCTGCTCCTCTGTTACAGAAAAACAATGTTCCAATCTGGGCTACATGCCTCCAATGTCCACTCATGGCTGAGAAGATCGAAGAAGTGATTGTTAGCATTCACACCTCCTCGACCTGGGCAAGGTCTTCACTGCCGGCTTCAACCCAAGAGCAAGCCATACCTTCTCCCACGTAGATCAACGTCTCTCCGCCGTAAGCGGACAGGCACCTGACTCATGCCATTGTGTCAGCATCCGCTGTTCATCGGACTTGACATACCGTCATGAAGAGTTAGAAAGACTTCTCTTCGCCTTGACGCCATGTCTCCAGGTGGAGGATATACCAGCAAAAGTGTCCGTCCGACACTCCCAGACATGGCTGCCTTGCCGGCGGACTAACTGTAATCAACGACTTGATTACACAACGACCTCTCAGGTCCTAAATTATGAATGAATGTAAAACTGAAAAAAAACTAGCCATGGCCTCCAACCTACTACTAGCGATGACCTCCAACCTACCAATTTACTAGCGATGGCCTCCAACTAAATTATGCTTGAAAGGGTGCATCGTGGGCTCTGTTCACCTTCTACTTCATTTTCTTGCAGCACCGTGGCCTCCGCATCTGCTCGCTGCACTTCTGCACCAGGTACCATAATCCTCCAAAGTGCAGTCGATGCTGCAGGTGCTGTTGGATGGTTCATATCTGCACAGCCCTTCTTCTTGGTGACCCCCATCAAACTTGATCGCCTATGTTTTTTAAAGAAAGGCTTTACCAAACAATCAGCAATCCGGAGTTCACAGAAGCTTCTCCTGGAAGATGCTTCCTCTCCAAAGCGACTAGGGCTGGAGTGATTGTCAAACGCAATGACCTCATGGCGATCTACACACGGTTCAGACCAACGATGAGCGAGCGGTCAAGGCCTTTCAATGATAGGCTTTGGTTATCCACCGATCCTGTCGCTTCGGCCATGTCCCTACTGAAAGTCACAGACGACTCACACGATCTTTGAGGGAAATCTGAGAGAAAATGTCCAACGAATGAGGCACATGACCTTAAAAGCCTGGATGTACAGCAGATGGCCTCCAACCTAGAAGCGATGGCCTCCAACCTACTAGCGATGGCCTCCAACAACCTAAGAG